TCTAATATGCTGCAGAGCAGCAACAGAGTACTGGGCCAGGGCATCAGCCCTCTGGGACTCTCTATTCTCGTCTCCCCTCCCTGAACATCCCGTCCAACTTCTCCTATGGACTAAAATCCCTACCCAGCTGAAAAAGACAAAGAAGATCTGGTTCGGAACGATCAGGAAGGCGACATTATGGACTATCTGGAAGGAAAGATGAGGCAGGACCATTGAGGGTGCGTCAAACTAAAGGGAAAAGGTGTGGTCGGAAACAAAGACTTTGATTCAGGCAGAGATTCTATGCAAGTGGCACGAGACAAGACTTTCCCTACCAGACGAGGACTAGCAACAGCGCAGAGCTCAGTTAAAGTTTACCAAGGCCTGGCTGATTGAAGGAAAAGTTGCAGAGATAAAGAACTCCTATTTACGGTGGAAGGAATGGCACAACTTGTAAGGAGATAGGAGAAGACCAAGATACCTCACGACCAATGGAGTAGTTCCGCCACAGACTACAGTGTCCTATGCTGAGCAACAATGGTATCAGGCATGTACCTTGGAGAGGAAGGAACCTCAGATTCGTGGCTGGAGGCAGATCCTACCACTTCTCTCATTTGAATAGGTCTATTTGACAGGCCCAAGAAGGGAACCCGAGAGGAGCAAGTTGGTAGGGCAAGCTGACATTCAATCCTCCCTCAAGGGAGCAATCAATGCTGGTCAGGCGTCCTTCAGCCATATGGAAGGAAGCGTGAGTGTGTTTTCTCATATTGTATTCAATCTTGACTTGCCGGGGGAATAAGAACCGGACTATGTCCTTCGGGACATCCGTTAAAATTGGAACGATACAGAGAAGATTAGCGTGCCCCCTGCGCAAGGATGACACGCATAAATCGAGAAATGGTCCATATTAAAATTAAAAAAAAAAAAAAAAAAAAAGGAACCATGGAATTGGACTGACGCTCCCCAGAATGTAAAAGGAGCCAGGCACATAACGACCTGTTTTTGTTTATAAAATAATAATAATAAAAAAAAGTTGTCTTCATATTGTGCGCGCAAGAGAGAGAGAGAGAGAGAGAGAGAGAGAGAGGGGGGGGGGGGGAGGAAGGTGGGAGCAGAGGGGGAGGAAAGCAAGAGAGTGAGAGAGAGAGTACCAAAGTTGAGTGTAGTGTTATGTGCCTGATTGAAACGAGATCCAACATGGCATCCACACGTTCTCATACACATGTGCAATGACAAGTGACCTTTGGAGGGAGCAATCCACACCACACCGGATGATAAGAATACACAGCGAAAACACACAAATACCGAGAGTAGAATTGAAATGAAAATCAATTCTAAGGATCAACAGCACGAATTTCCAAGGATCCCAACCACGTTAAGATTTCATCGAAGCATCCGGGAGTCTTTCTTCCTCCCTCTTCCTCAAGCCCTAGCTATGGTGCTTGCAAGCACCCAACCTATCAAGCCTGCCAATCGCCGCACACCCTCCTAAAACTCCCCCTGCACCACCCAAGAACCCGCTGCAGATGAAGTGTTCACTCAGCAGGGGAGCGCAGCTCCCAGGATGATGAAGACGAACAGCAACTCGATGAAGATGAAGATCTGCCACGTCGAAGAAGAACCACTGAAAGTGCAGCTTCGGTGGCAGCTGACCAAACCCCAACAAGCACACAAATACGAGGAAGCGCTCATCGGCACTTGGGCGCTGAGCCCAGAGCTGTCACCAATGGAGCTGGTCGGCCCCAGCTGTGGCCGCCAGCAGCATGTGGAGAAGATGCCCTGCATACATGCCCACAATAGCGCAGCAGAGAAGCAACGCGACCTCCATCAAGACCGTGAGAAGAAAAGCAACGAAAAGAACCCCAAACTCGTCGGCCTCTGCCTACTTCTACCTGACTTCCCTAGACCTACAATACAGCAGCCACCTACAGACCTATCTGACCATCCAAACAGCGAACATCTACGGCCAAACAGTCACCATCTACCTACATGCATCTAGATTGAAAACTAGACAAAGGGGACCCACGGCTAGGACACACAAAAGAAAGACCTACGGGCCCACCGGTTTCCAGAAGGGCAGAAAAGGACAAAACAACAAGGCTGAAAGGCCTAGGACTACGAACTAGAGACTACTAGCCACAGCTTCAAGGTTCAAGCCCAATAAGGCTCAAAAACAGTCACCACAAACACACTACAGGTCATGGGATCAAGTCCCGCGTTGACTTCGGCAACTGCAGAAGACGACAAAACAGTAAAGCGTAACGGTCTAAGACTGCCAAATAGAGACTACTAGCTACGGGTCTAAGGATCACGCCCAGTAGGGCTCGAAGCTAACCAACCAAACGTACAAATTACAGGTCACGGGATCAAGTCCCGCAAGGCCCAAACCAAGGAAACAGCAAACACAGTTAGTGCACAGTCCCACTGGGATACTGCGATTTATTGCAGTAGCAGCGTAGAGTAGCATCGAGGGTAGAGGGTCGAAGTCCAGTAAGCGTAGAGTAGCGTCGTAGCCATCCAGCATATAAGTCGAGAGTAGCCTTTTTCTTCTGTTTTTTGTCGTAGGGGCGGGGTCGCCCATGTAGCCGTCGTAGTAGCTCTCTCTCTCTCTCTCTCTCTCTCTCGTAGGTTAGGTGGCCGCAGAAGGCGGGAAAGGAGGCAGGAAGGGAAGGGAAGGTGGGAGCGGAGAGTAGCACGGAGGGTAGGGAAGTTGGCCGCAGAGGGGGAGGAAGGTGGCCCGAGATGGGGGGCAAAATGGGCAAGGAGGAGAGGGAAGGTGGGCGCAGGGGGAATTTTTTTTCGATGCTGTCGGTTGCCTCTGTGTAAGGTCGAGTGTAGCCAGCGTAGAGAGAGAGAGAGAGAGAGAGAGAGAGAGAGAGAGAGATTAGCAAATTTGATTGTAGAAGGGTACAGTAGCATCGAGCGTAGAGCGTTGAAGTCCAGTAGCGTTCGCCGTTTCTTTCTGGCGCAGCCTGGGAAAAAAATGTTACTTGCATCAACCCCAAGTGTACCGTTCACCGTTTCTTTTTGGCACAGCCTGGAAAAAAAAATTTAGTTACATCAACCCTGCGCGTTTACCCTTCCGATATTGGCCTGGGGAGTGCCGCGTGCCATACTAGCGGTCCAAAAATAGCCTGGGGAGTGCCACACGTGGCAATATCGAACCAGGGCCTACCGGCCCAGCGGGAATTCACTACTGGCCCAGCGATAGTCTCCAGAACGATCAACACACAATCTGGACCGCGCGGTTCAACGCCGAAGACGGTTCAGATTGCGAGTTGATGACATCGAAAACGATCAGCAGCCAATCTCGCCCGTCGCGCCGCAACAAAATGCATGGGCCAGATTGGCTGCTCGTCACAGGCCACCAAATAGCGATTGTTATAATGTAGTGAACTTCTTCTTCTACTGCAAACATGTCAAACTGCTGCAGAACTTCGACTCGGCAAAATTCAGAAATGGTTTCTGTGAAATTCTCTCCCATCTTTCTGTTCTTCTTCTTCTTTATTTTCCCTACCCTTTTCTGCGTGGCATTCTTCTCTCATAATGTTGTCTTTCATTTGCTGCTGCTGTTTGTCATTGGTTCATCTGGCTTCATAATGATGTGGTGAGTCCTGCAACACACCAGCTCAAATGGGCCTGCAGACCAAAGAAACAGCCCCCAGCCCCCACCCCAGGACACACCCTCAAAAATAAATCTGACATTGGAAGTTTTATTGCAGCATCCGACAGCTCACAGCGAGTGCAGATGCATCACGAAGTCCACGGGAGGTGGGGGGCGGAGGGATTGGGCACTTTTTGGGGTCATCAGGTTTTCCGGTTAAAACCCCAGAACCAGTCTCACCACGGCCAGTTGCCAACCTAGCCCTGGTTTTTCAGCATTTCAATGGAGATGCTAGGGAACGTCAACATACATTTTACACGTCAGAGCTTACCCACAAATTCACCAGATGTAACCCAGTCACATACTCTTGAGAGTGCATGGACACTCCCACTCGTTGATTTATTGTAGCCTCGGAATTTGGATAGCAGCGTTGGGTTAGAGGAGCACTGGTTGAGCATATATGACAAAGACCACCTTGAACGGAGAATCGCACGTGATCACCAGGGGAGTAGTCCACCTCGGAGGAGTGTGCGCGAGAGTTCAAGGTCTTCATCATTCGTACAGTCGCTATTGTCATTATATTAGTACTGAGTTGCACATATCATGGGAATTCCGGTTGTATCAAAATAGACAGGACACAACCTCCATGAATGAGCACATGACATACGAGAGAGGTGGATGCAAAATCCAGGCACAGTTAGCGCTTTGAGATTGAAAAAGAAAGATGACAGAAGGGGGAATAGGAACCGGACTGACGCTCCCCAGAATAGAAGGAGCCAGGACCATAAGGCCTGTTTAAAAAAAAAAAAA